TGCATCCAAAAACCCCCCCCCCCCAAAAAAAAAAAATCGTTTATATATATATCTATATATATGTTCTAATGGCAAACACATGTTTATGAATTATTACAAACAAAGCTGTTGCGTGGTACTGTGTTCAAAAAAAGTATCCAACTGAGATGTCTTCAAATGTGCAGCCCAATATCACCTCCACTCACCCATCCCTCCTCCCCCACACAAACCGAACTGCTTTGAACAGCACCTAACTATGGTCGAGTTGTCATGATGCTATCGATGCTGAAAATTGTCACAAATAGCATTAGAGAACACGTTCGCACAATAGTCCTTCGCTATTTACAGAACAACACGAGTAACGAACGAGCTCGGTTTCGATAGCTTCTTCTTCTGTCTAATACGGTCATATATATATATATATATATATATATATATATATATATATATATATATANATATATATATATATATATATATATATATATATATGCAACAAATAATGTTAGAATAAATATCCGTTGGTTCGACGGTATGGCAGTGGTGAGAAATGGTTGGGAAATAAGTGAAAACAAAATTGATGAATTGGTGGTTTCGAATAAGGAATCGGGAAACAAACAAAGGAAGAGAGGGATTGATGGATGAAACAGGAAGTGCGAGATCACACACTTTGGTCGAGTGGTCGTGTGAAGAGTCATGGATGAATTTACCTTCTGTGTGTGGTCTGGGCCAAGGTAGCGGTTGTTGGGCTTCAACAAATTGTTTTTGTGAGCATAGAATTGGTGCCAATGACTTTATTGCTACCGCCTCTGTTGTCTCAAGATGGCGATGTTGGAGGGTTTTACAAGGGTTTGGAGGTACCTTGTAGATAATTTTGAATGCATCTTCAGTTATCTGATGTCCGGTATCTACGAGGTGCGCCGTGATCGCACTCAAAACGGTCCTTGTGACTCCTTTGTTTAACCAAGCCGGTTTGTGTTCCTTGATTCTTTGAGAAAGCTGCCTGATCGTCCTGCCTATGTAACTTGCCGAACATGAGCAAACAGAAGAATAGATAGTGTGGATCGGCAATATATCTTTGGCGTTTAATGACGACAAGGATCGGTTGGTGAATTGTGTACGTAACCGGGCAGCAGGAAACATTCGAGCAATGGACTTTTC